GTTAGGAGAGCAAAGAAGAGTTAGAGACGATGTGATATCTCTCTTGATGTTCCAGAATAACATAAGGAAATCTATGGTGCAAGCAAGTTGAAGGAAGGTGTCAAGTAGTATAGATACATATGTGTAGGTCGCAAGCTAAAGTAAGGTAAGCGACAAGGTTTTAGGAAGACAAGAGTAAGGATAAGAAAAGGTGAGTGAGAAGGTGATGAGAATGAATAAGTTCTCGGGATTAAGCCCATGAAAACAAGAGAGCTGATAGTTCTCTAAGTTTTAGAAAGCTCAGTATAGCCTGAATGAACCCAAAGGACTCTAAGACTAGTAGCATTTAGAAGAGATAGAATGCTCCCTTGGTAGTGCAATGAGGGTGTAATTGTGATAGATAAAGGATGACGTTTGGGCCTTCGATTGAGTAACGATTTGAAGAGGATTTCATGAATTATACGGAACTAAAATACCCATGTAAAGTAAATCACATTGGGATGCTGTAAAATGCATTTCTGGAAGTGTAGTATCGCCCCTACATGGATCAATCTAATTACTCCAGATATCCCCGATGAGACGTGAGCCCTAGCGGTAGTGTCGCATAAGAAGTTTCATTATCAGTGGTATATTGTAGATCAATATTGAGGCAAATCATAATGGATGGACAAAAGTCACAAAGTATGAGCTGAGATTAGGTCGTCATTCTTAAGATGAACAGTAATGAGGAAGCATTAAAGGACATAGATTTATACATATGGGGTAAGCAACGAAAGTAACCTGGAGTTTGGTAGCAGGCTTCAGTAACGATAAATCGAAGTAAGAGTTATGGTATATTATGACCTACTTAGATGCAGTAAAGTCATGCGGATAGATAAGCGGGCCTATGAAATAAGATATAGCAATATTCGTAAGTTCGACAAAGTACCGAGCGAAGAACTTCAAGTATACCTATAGATGCCCATAGGGACATCTTGTCAAGCTCTATATATGTTTACAAAGTGAGGCCTAGAGATTGGCTAAAAGCTGGAGGGAAAAGGAGAAAAGAGTCGCATAGGCGCACTTACAAAGTCAGAGTCATACAGGATGCATGACAGGAGGTAGCAACAGTTACGACATTGGAAAGATTTCGACCGCAAGTCGTGTTATGAGAAAGAGGACTAACCGGGGGGGGGGGGGGATACCCTAGACTTTGGAATTATTCACAGAACGGTTGCCTAGATGGCAAGGAGAGTACTAAAGTATTCGAAAGACATAAGTTATGAAAATGATAAGTGCATCACTCAACATTCGAGGACGAATGTTCCAAAGGGGGAATGATGTTACACCCCATATTTCTGTACATAAAAGTATGCCATAGGTGAATTGATGAAAGCTCGGGAATGAGGTGTTACATCCCGCATTTTCAGACGTTAAGGTTTCGTCGTAAAGTTAATTGACGCAAGCTCGGGACTGAGATTATTTTGAGGTTACAAGTATTATGCTATTTCAAACAAGGGATAAGTAAATTCGTGAAGGTGAGAGGGTAAGCAAATCAAAGAAAATGAATGTGATCGAAATTTGACATTTTGGGGTAAAATACGATCCGAGATATAAAATCTGGTATTTATGGACTAGTGCCATACAAGGTACTGCATGACCATAATAGTAAGGTGTACAAGGAATGTTAAAAGTAAGTAGTATTTTAAGTAATTTGATATAATTCTTAATTATGTGGGTGATTGGTTAATTCTTGGATAAGAGGATGTTACCCTATTAATTAAGGAGTTATATCGGATAAAGATTAAGGGCATGAGGTGGCAGCCAAACATCTCTTGAATTATGACTCATAAACCATACTTTAAGGTGGCAAAATCTTGGGAATTAATGGCTTAATCACCTTGCCAAAGTGGGCCCACATCATATATATGACATATCAAAACTTAAGAGACATTCTAAAGTAATGTGAAGACTTTCCAATTTAAACTTAACATGAAGACCTTCCAATTTAAACATACTTAGAAAGCCTCTCTAACTTGGTAACGTGAGAATTTTGTCATCTTCCACAAATTCAATAAGATTTCATGGCAATTCAACGAGAAAATCTTAGTATTTTAGCAACGTGAGATTTTGCGATTCTAAGGGAGTACGGTGTAATCTTTCTCAAGAGTATCATACAGATTTTCCCCTACTTCGATCCGCCATTTCGTGTTATCGCAATCAACTGGTGTTAAAGGGATTTTCAAGAAAATCAATTTTGGTATGTTAAGGCTATCCCTTCTTTCTTTTTGGCATGATCTATACGACACGAACGAAACGAGCAAATGCTCAAATTCCATAAATGACTCTATTCATAGTAGTATTAGAGATATCTATGTTCTTGAATTCCCATATGTCTTATTATTCTATCATCTATTCATGGCTCTCAGAAAATATGTAAGTTGATAAAGTTTGTTTCATGATATTAATCAGAGGTATAATGATCTTATGACGTTCCGAGAGGTTTTATTGACATACTTCTCATGCATTGCATTATTTATACATGTACATTAACCCATGACCAGACGACATTATATACGCATATATATATATATATATATATATATATATATATATATATATATATATATATATATATATATGTATGTATATTATATGTAAATGGGATATGGGAAAAGGTTACGGCGTTATATATGCACCACCACCTGATCAACTAGTATACGTTGATGATTTGCCCATAGTGGCCGAGATGATATGATGGGATGCCCTCAGAGGCTTGATGATGCTATGAACACATGTACCAATGCACGACATGACATTCATAGGCATATGCATGACACTATGAGTATTCAATTATTTACAGAGTTATTCAGACTTACATGTCGAGTCTTTTACTCCAGGTTTCTCTCATGTCTATTATTTACTGATTTTTATTCCTTAGATACTCGGTACATTATTTGTACTGACTTTCCTTTTTCCTAGGGACGTTGCGTTTCATGCCTACAGGTTCTGATAGATAGGTTGAGAGCCCTCCGAGTAGGCCATCAGATCAGTGAAAGATGTTGGTGCGCTCTATTTGCTCCGGAGTTGCTTGTTTGGTCAGTATGATTTAGACGTGTATTGTTTGGTATGGCGGGGCCCTGCCCCGACCTTTGCAATAAGTATGTACTCTTAGAGGCTTATAGACAGATGTAATGTATATGGATACTTGTATGGCCTTGTCAGCCTATATTTTAAGTGTATAATGGATCAGATTGGCCTTATAGGCCCGTATGTCACATATATGAGTTTTTATATCTGGTTGGGTCGTACTATATTGAGTATTCCTCTATGTTTATTCTGGTTAGCTCATGATGGCCCATTTTTCCCATTTGCCAATGAAAGTACTATAAGAATGATATGTTATGTTGGTACTCAGTTGAGTAAGGTACCAGGTGCCCGTCGCGGCTCATAGGTTTTAGTCGTGACAAAAGGCTTGGGAGCCGGCTATGGAACTTTGGAGCGAGGTAAGTTTCTTTTCTAACCTTGTAAGAGGGAATTAACCCCATAGGTGAATTGATTTAATACGTTCTTCTATTTGTGGGGGGCTACGTACGCACGAGGTGATGAGAGTCCATGCGTAGATACTAGTTATGCTTATGTCCGGTAATTCTAGGACCCAAATCATGTTATACTTGTGATGTTTGCACCTTACTTGTCAACTTAATTTCTTAATTCATTTTGAAAATTTATAAAGGAATCGTAAAATGTTAAACTTCATTTTCTTGACCGTTAATGAGAATTTGTGTTTCCTTGAATAATTGCCCCTTAATAAATTTTGAATTGTTTGTTTTAAATGTATTTTCTCTTTTGTGGAGCGGGCCGAACACCTCGGTAGCAGATAGTATGGTTCATACGGTTTGACCCTTGGCACTGCATAGGTCATATTTATATGTTGGATCGGGCCGTACGACTTTGGCATGATTTGCGTATGATAAATATTTGGAACTAATAATAATTGATATTGCTTCATTGACTTGATATATAAATTGTTAAATGACGAAAATAAATTTGGAAATTTCTTACTAATAAAAGAATTGTTTACTTCTTGTTATTGAGTTTTCAACTGTTGTATACAATCCATGCCTAATTATTATCGGTATTTTATTGTTAGCCCATAATAAGTGTCGGAGTCGATCCCTTGTCACTACTTCTTCAAGGTTAGACTAGATACTTACTGGATACACATTGATTTACATACTCATACTACACTTGCTACACATTTTTGTGCAGGTGCATATATGTCTAGTAGACTTGTGGGCGTAGAGGCGTGACTATTGCGGGAACTTAGGTGAGCTGTATTCCATATTGCGAATTCGCAGCATACAAAGTCTCCATCAGAGTTATTTACCCTCTCCTATCTAATTGTATTCCAGACAGATGTTGTATTTTTACTATATTTCCTAGTTGATGCTTACGGGTTTTGGGGGTGATTATGGGTTTTTCAATATTGTACTTGAGAAAATATTATCATTTTTCGGTAAATTCTATATCTTACTACTTAATTGAAGGAAATTATGATTTCAAAAATACTAAAATGGATAATTAAGTTAATTAATTATTGTTGGCTTGCTTACAACGCTGTTAGGCGCTATCTCAACCTTTAATAAATTTTTAGTCGTGGCAACAAGTGCCCATGTATCACAACTTGCCAACAATCAACAATATCAATGTTTCTATAACGATATCCCACGACTCCATCACTACGTGTACAAGAATATTAACAACAACAATGAATGTAAAAATGCTCAACAAGGAAGATGTTTCAACAATAATGATTTCGCCTCAACGTGATAACGACTTTCACAACTTCAACATCAATAACTCAACAATCAGTGATAATGTATAACTACGTTATTAATTAAAAATAACTTATAAGGGAAGAGATAATGTGTAACAATAGTGTAATGACACAACTAGTTGGGCTGGCCCATTTAACTAATCCAACTATTAAGACCATTAGCCTATTAATTCCCTAACTGAATTAAGCAAAAGAAGGAAAATAAAAAGAGAAAAAGTGAGGCGGTTTGCGCAAGAAAAGAAAAAAAAAGAATAAAACCAGCAACTAGTTTATCAGAAGCAGCTCAACAGCGGTTTTTCTAAGGAAAAAAACAAGAGAAATAGGAAGATAGAGATATACGAAGAAGGAGAGCATGGAGGAATAGATCCTAAAAGCAGATTCCAACATCAAATAGAAGTTATTATCTCTAAAACCTTGAACCCAAGTAGTGTTGAAGAAGACTCAATCACTTTTCTCCCTTCTCGACTCTTACAAGTAAGTTTCTAATATACCTATCTATCAATGAACCCATCCTTTTCTATGAGTAATTAGCAACAAAAAACTAGGGTTAAAGATATAGTAATCTGAAATTTAATAGAGAAGTTCCAACTCTGGGGGCAAAGACTCGAATCTTTATATCAAACTCGAATTATTCGAAGTACTTTCTTTTACCCCAGCTCTAATATGAAATACAAGTTCTTTGAAGGATAAGCGAAAAATGATATCAATTATAATTGAACAGAAGCCTTCTTTGTTTTTTTTTAAAAAAGAGAGAGGAAGAAGAAGAAGAACTCGAACTACAAAAGAGAATAGTGACTTAACATAACAGTTGAGCGAGTTTGGGAAATCATAATTTCATTACTAGAGGTATTAATTAATCGAGATGTATGAATAATTAATATTCAAATATTCATTATGTTCTAGATAATTGATACTATGACGTTGTTGGAATTAAATTTGGAGTTGTTCGACAAAAATATACTGCGAGTAGTGACTCTTCCATAGTTGAATTTCAACTATAGCATATCTGGAACTAGTTTTCTTGCATCAAAATATTTTGAAAAAAATCTTATTATTTGCATAGGGACAGGCAACTGATATGTTGATGTATGTCAAATGATTCTTTAATACCTGAGTTTTATTTATAAATAATCTGATTTGAAACTATGTTTATTTATGACTTTTCATATATTTTTTATTTAATTCTTGTTAGAAAGAGAAGAAGTGTGTAAAACTATATTGTGCTATAAACAAAATGGCTTTAGGAAATCAATTTAGCCAGATCGCCGTTATCTAACGTAGGGATTGTTAGACCTGGTGCACCTTGTATGACAGACTTGTGTGTTTCACACATATACCCTCTATAAGGGAACCTAACTGACAGGGTTGTCAGACGGCCATGGTAAACCCATGGTATCAGAAAGTATAACGACTTTGACTTAAGTATCTTTCAGCATAAAAAAGAGTGTAGAAAACATGGAATTGCGACTATGGTTTCACTCACCTGTTTTATCATTCTATACAGGAATTGTTGTATTAATTTCATTGGGTATAATTGAAGAGTTTTTGAGATGCATGATTTCGGATATATGCTTGTCCCAAATATTTGCTATAGTTGATGTTATTACTCACTCAGTCGGTTTTAATCGCCTTATTATCCCTTCTTTTTCCCTTTCCGTCACAGATAATTTAGTTAAAGCTGACACTTCGACCCAAGTAGAGTGATAGACAGAGATGACGATGGATCCAGTAAGCTACGCACTTGCTTTGTGTGGGCTATCAGTTTGTTAGACTACTTTAACATGTTATTTTGTTAAAGTTCTATAGTTTTGCACCATAAGTCAGTCTTGGGATTGTATTTTGGTTTGTGGCTTTAGATTGACGATATTTTCTAAACTTAGCATGTTAGAGTTACTAGTATTATGGTGCATTGAGCACGTGTTGATTGAAGGCTGACATGTTTTTTTTACTTTTGGTTTTCTCTCGGTAAAGAGGAGACTCTGCCGGATTTTTGATATGGAAAGAAAAAAGGTAGGCTTGCTTAGTAGTCTTAGACTCACTTAGCGCCGGTCATGACCCTCGTCGTGCCGTGACAGAGTTGGTATCAAAACTTTAGGTTTAGAATATGACTTAAGGAGCAACGGTTTTAGTAGAGGATTAATTGTGTATATGTTGTGTACCATATGCACGATCGGGGCTCGGCAGAAACTGATTAGCACTTTTCTTTCTTATTCATTATTGAATTTTAAAAGAGTGATATATGCGATCTAGAGCCGAGTAAGCATACTAAAATTGTTTTTATGTTTATAGATGGTAAAGACACGCTTGGCTAATAGTGGGACCGGACAAATAAATAGGCACGAGGTACCACACGCTATGTTAGAAGAATTATGCTTCCACCAAACTCTGGTTGGGGTCGTAGGAGAGGCCGGCATACCTGCTAGACAAGCTGTCCACCCGATCAGTGAAGATGAGGTAATACCACCCTCATAGCCTCAAGGTGGTGGTACTACTGATGCGATAGCCGCAATTCTGCATCAAGCCATGGAAAGTTTGCTATAGAAGGTCCAAACACAATCGAGGGTTAGTGCAATGTCTGAAACGGGTGACAGCCATAACCAGAAAGAACATCCACTTGGGAAATTAATTCGGGAGTTTTTGGAGCTGAAGCCTCCCGTGTTTACAGGGGATAGCGAGACCGAGGACCCACAGCTATTCTTGGATGGAATTTAAAAAGCATTAGATGTGCTTGAATGCTCTAGCACGAGGTCGGTTGCGTTGGCTGCCTATTGTTTATAGGATGTTACCGAAGAATGGCTTAAATCTTTCAACGCAGGCCGACCAATTGGATCACGTCCCTTAACTTTGAATGAATTTTATACTGACTTTATTGAGCGATTCTTGCCTATGAGCCATATAGATGCTTTGGTAGCTCAATTTGAGGGGTTGAAGCAGACCTCAGAGATGTCAGCGAATGAGTATAATATTCAGTTCACTCGTTTATCTCGATATGCACCACATCTATTGGATGATGATGCTATGCAGACTAAGAGGTTCATACGAGGTCTAATCGATCCATTTTTCAAACCACTGACATCACATTTGACTAAGAATGACATAACCTACACACAGGCAGTGGATGTTGCAAGTGAGGTAGAGGCTCGGTGGATTGAAGGGAAGGCAACTAAAGCCTAAAATAAGAGGACAAAGACCACAGGATCCTTTGGAGGGGGTATTGGTACTAGTCGAGGCACAGGATCACAAAGCCATCCACGGACTGCACAAATGAGAGAATCATCAATTGTCCAGTCATCTATCAGTGCTTCTGCCTTGAGACAAAGTCCTAGAGGCCGGTACCGACACCTGGGCAGACCAACCACACTATATCTACTTGTCCTAGTTGTCACAAGGTTCATTTAGGCCAATGTTGGAGAGAAATTGGTGCATGCCTTCGCTGTGGTCAGATGGGTCATTACAAGAGAGATTGCCCACGCTATCAAAAAGGGACTAACCAGGTGTCGACACCGACGAATAGCACCCCAGCCATCTCCGAAGCTCAGACTGCTAGGGAGAATTCGGGATAAGGTAGAGGCGCTGGAAACAAGGGCCCAACTAGTAGAGGATTGGGAGAGGCCGGGAGAGGCAAACCCCGAGTTTTTGGTCTTACCAGGCAAGATGCACAAGCATCTAATGCAGTCGTCACATGTACATTCATAGTGTGTCAACTTGTTGTTGCTATATTTAATGATTTTAAACTGCCCTATTTTTATTGTGTTCATATGATGTCGTAGGATTTAACATACAAAATGATGTCCCAGGTATACATTCGATGTGTTCATTTGATGTTATTGCTTTAATTGACCCTGGATCCACCCATTCCTATGTGTACCCATATTTTGCTATGAGGTTTAACAGACTCCCAGAGTTGTTATTAGCCCCTTTTGTAGTTGCTACACCAGTTGGGGAATATTTACTAGTTGAGTGAGTGTATCCCTCTTTTCAAATTAGTGTTGGGGAAAATGACATATTAGCAGTCTAATATCATTCATGAGTACAAATCAAATGTTAAATGATGTCGAGTGAGTCAAGTTCCATTCTACAAGGTGACCAAGGACCACCTTTGAACAGTTTAATATCATTTATGAGTGCAAATCGAATGTTAAATAAAGGTTGCCTGGGATTTTTTGGCGCGTGTCAAAGATTCAAACATTATAGTGCCAGATTTAGAGAATGTTCATGTGGTTAGAGAATTCCCTAATGTGTTTTTGGAATATCTACATGGGTTACCTTTTGTTAGGAAAATTGACTTCGGTATTGATCTAGTACCTAGAACATAACCCATATCAATACCTCCCTATCGAATGGCACCAACCGAGTTAACAGAGCTGAAGGAACAACTGCATGATCTATTAAATAAAGGTTTCATTAGACCGAGAACTTCGTCTTGGGTCGTACTAGTTCTATTTGTAAAGAAGAAGGATGGGTCCATGAGACTGTATAGACTACCGATAGCTGAACAAGGTCATGATACGCAATAAATACCCGTTGCCGCGTGTTGATGATTTGTTCGACAAACTCCAGGGTGCAAGGAGGTTCTCAAAGATTGATCTACGGTCAGGATACCATCAGCTATTCATCAATGGTGAAGACGTTCCAAAGATGGCCTTTCGAACCAGGTATGGACACTGCGAATTTTTAGTGATGTCTTTTGGACTGACAAACGAACCAATGACATTTATGGACATGATGAATAGGGTGTTCAAACCATACCTGGAAAAATTTGTAATTGTATTTATCGATGATATCCTAAGACTTATGAAGAGCATGAACAACACTTGAGGAGGGTACTATAGACACTTAGAGAACATAAGCTATATGCTAAGATTGCTAAGTGCGAACTTTGGCTAGATCGAGTTTCCATCCTAGGTCATATTATATCCGAGGAAGGGATCTTAGTTGACCCAAAGAAAGTGGAAGCGGTACAGAAATGGCCGAGGCCAACCACCGCCACCGAGATATGAAGCATCTTAGGTCTTGCTGGCTATTATAGGCGCTTTATACAGGATTTCTCAACGATACCAGCACCCTTGACGAAGATGACGCAAAAACATGTGAAATTTCAATGCTCATATGAATATCAGTGAAGTTTTCTTGAAAGTCAAGGAATTTCTAACAACAGCTCCGGTATTGCTGCTTCCATCTGGAACCGAAGGATTTTCAGTATATTGTGATGCCTCCCGAGTGGGACTTGGGTATGTTCTCATGCAGAATGGCCGAGTCATAGCATATGCTTTGAGACAATTGTAGAAGCATGAGCAAAATTATCCGGCACATGACTTAGAGTTGGCGGCAGTTGTATTTGCATTAAAGCTTTGGCGACATTATTTATATGGAGAGAAATGCGAGATCTATACTGATCACAAGAGCCTCTAGTATATCTTCCAACAAAAAGATTTGAACCACCGACAATGAAGGCGGATTGAGCTACTAAAGGATTATGATTGCACGATATTGTATCACCCAAGAAAGGCTAACGTGGTGGCTAACGCATTGAGCCGAAAGTCTAATAAGGAGGAACCTAGCAAAAGAAATCCACAAATTAGAAGATTGTGGAAAAAACTTTAGTTTGGGACAAGCGGTCTCATTATTGGCACATATTCAAGCTAGATCGTCATTAATAGAGGATATCAAGGCAAAGCAATATTTGGATTCGAAGTTGTGCAAAATCAGAGACGACGTTGTTGCCGGTAAGGGCAAATATTTTACTCTAGATAGTAACAAGGTGCTATGATTGGGCGATCGTATCTGTGTACCTGATATTGATGGCTTGAGACACTCGATACTTGAGGAAGCACATGGCTCCAAGTACTCGGTTCATCCTGGATCAACAAAGATGTATCAGGATCTTCGATAGTTATATTGTTGGGATGGTATGAAGAATGATATTGCGAACTATGTCACCCGGTGTCTCACTTTTCAGCAAGTAAAGGCCGAGCATCAACAACCTGCGGGGTTCATGCAACAGCTTGAGATTCCAGAATGGAAGTGGGAACGAATTACCATGGACTTTGTGAGTAGATTGCCACGAACTCCTAAAGCTTATGACTCTATATGGGTGATTGTAGATCGACTTACGATGTTGGCGTATTTTTTGCCGGTTAAAACCATATACAATGGCGTGCGTTATGCACAAATTTATATAGATGATATTGTTCGACTTTATGGAGTCCCGGTGTCTATTATTTCAGATAGAGGGCCCCATTTTACCTCGCACTTCTGTAAAGCATTTCCGAGAGCACTAGGGACGCGTGTGGACTTGAGTCCTACGTTTCACCCGCAGACGGACGGGCAGTTCGAGCGGACTATACATACACCAGAAGATATGTTGAAATCTTGTATCCTTTATTTTGGCGGCATTTGGGACAAATATATACCTTTGGTTGAGTTTGCATATAATAATAGCTTCCAAGCCAGTTTACAAATGGCACCTTATGAGGCGCTATATGAAAGATGATGTCGGTCTCCCATCAGTTCGTTTGAGGCTGGAGAGGCAAGGGTATTGGGTCCAGATTTGGTACAATTAGCACTTGAAAAAATTTAATTAATCAGGCAGAGGTTGCTAGCATCTCAAAGTAGACAAAAAGCTTATGCGGACAAGAGACATCGAGAATTGGAATTTTGGGTAGGAGATCACGTTTTCTTACGGGTATCACCGATGAAAGGGGTTTTGAGATTTGGGAACAAAGGGAAGTTGAGTCCAAGATATATTGGACCATATGAGATACTAGACAGAGTTGATGCCGGGGCATATCGTTTAGCATTTCCGTCAGACTTGTCTTCTGTACGTCAAGTATTTCACGTATCTATGTTGTCAAAGTACATGTCTGACCCGTCTCATGTACTTGAGATATCGAATATTCAATTAGATGAAATATTGACTTACGAAGTGGAGCCAATAGGCATCATTGATAGGCAAGTGAGAAGGCTCCGGTCGAAAGACATTACAACAGTAAAAGTTGTATGGAAGAATCATACTAGTGAAGAGGCAACATGGGAAGACGAGGAACTGATGTGAGCCAAATATCCTCACTTGTTTGAATCCATAGGTATGTAGATATTTAAAATCGGGGACCGAATTTTCGTAAGGGGGGAAGGATGTAATGACCCAACTAGTTGGGCTGGCCCATTTAACTAATCCAACTATTAAGACAATTAGCCTAACTGAATTAAGCAAAAGAAGGAAAATAAAAAGAGAAAAAGATGGGCGATTTGTGCAAGAAAAGAAAAAAAAGAATAAAACCAGTAACTTGTTTATCCAAAGCTGCTCAATAGCAATTTTTCTAAGGAAAAAAAAAAGAGAAACATGAAGAAAGAGAGATACGAAGAAGGAGAAGAAGGAGATCAAGGAGGAACAAATCCTAAAAGCCGATTCCAACATCAAATAGAAGTTATTATCTCTAAAACCTTGAACCCAAGTAGGCAAGTAGTGTTGAAGAACACTCACTTTTCTCCCTTATCGACTCTCACAAGTAAATTTCTAGTATACCTATCTACCAATGAACCCATCCCTTTTTATGAGTAATTAGCAATAAAAAGTTAGGGTTAAAGATATAGTAATCTGAAATTTAATAGAGAAGTTCCAACTCTGGGGGAAAAGACTCGAATCTTTGTATCAAACTCGAATTAATCAAAGTACTTTCATTTACCCCAACTCTAATATGAATACAAGTTCTTTGTAGGATAAGAGAAAAGTGATATCAATTATAATTGAGCATAAGCCTTCTCTGTTTTTTTAAAAAGAGAGAGGAAGAAGAAGAAGAAAAACTACAACTCGAACTACTAAAGAGAATAGTGACTTAACTTAATAGTTGAGCGGGTTTGGGAAGTCGTAATTTTATTACTAGAGATGTTAATTAATCGAGTTGTAGGAATAATTAATATTCAAATGTTCATTATGTTCTAGATAATTGATACTACGACGACGTTCGATCGTTTGAAGTAAATTTGGGTTGTTCGACAAAATATACTATGAGTGATGACTCTTCCATAGTTGAATTTTAACAATAGCATAACTGGAACTAGTTTTCTTGCATCAAAAATATTTTGACAAAATCTATTACTTGTATAGGGACAAGCAACTTATATGTTGTTGTATGTCAAATGATACGGTAATACCAGAGATTATTTATAAATAATATGATATTAAACTATGTTTATTTACGAGTTTTCATATATTTTGGGTTTAATTCTTGTTAGAAAAAAGAAGAAGTGGGTAAAACTATATTTTGCTATAAACAAAAGGGCTTTAGGAAATCAATGGCCAGATCGTCATTATCTAACGTCGGGATTGTTAGATCTGGTGCACCTTGTATGACAGACCTGTGTGTCTCACACATATACCCTCTAGAAGGGAACTCAGCTGACGGGGTTGTCAGATGGCCATGGTAAACTCATGGAGTCAAAAAGTATATCGACTCTGGCTTAAGTATCTGGCTTAAGTATCTTTCAACATAAAAAAGAGTATAGAAAACATGGAATTGCGACTATAGTTTCACTCACCTGTTTTATAAATCTATACAGGAATTGTTGTATTAATTTCATTGGGTATTATTGAAGAGTTTGTGAGATGGAAGATTTCGGATATAAGCTTGTCCCAAATATTTGCTATGGTTGATGTTATTACTCACTCAGTCGGTGTGACTGACCTTATTACCCCTTCTTTTTTTTTTCCTTTCCATCACAAATAATTTAGTTGAAGCTGACACTTTGACCATGTAGAGTGATAGACAGAGCTGACGATGGATCCAGTAAGCTCGGCACTTGCTTCGCCTGGGCTTTCAGTTTGTTAGACTACTTTAACATGTTATTTTGTTAAATTTCTAGAGTTTTGCTCCTTAAGTCTTGGGAATGTATTTTGGCTTGTGGCTTTAGATTGTCGACATTTTCTAAACTTAGCATGTTAGAGTAAGTAGTATTATGGTGCATTGAGCACGTGTTGATTGAAGGCTGACAGGTTTGTACTTTTGGTTTGCTCTCGGTAGAGGAGACTCTGCCGGATTTTTGATATGGAAAAAAAATAAGGTAGGCTTGCTCAGTAGTTTTAGACTCACTTAGCACCGGTCATGGACCTCGTCGGGTTGTGACAAATGGCATCAAATAATGTAAATCAACAAGGAAAGAGATAACATGAATAATAACTTCAAATAATGACACTCAATAATGGAAGAGATAACATGAATAATAACTTCAAATAATGATAATCAACAATGATAGAGATAATGTGTGACAATAATAGAGGCAACAAGTTCAACTAAAGCATGAGAGCAATTTATCAATTAGGATATAGAACACGTGTTAAGAAAATCATTTAAGGCATATAAGGATAGATTAACTCAAGTAGGGATAGATTGACTATGAGAATTTAGAACATGATACTACAATTTAATTTTTAGCATGGAAAAAGTCTAAGTAGCCTAAACCGGTCAATTACCATGTACAACCCGTGTACCCACTCATCACCTTGCGTACACGACTTTCAAATAGAACAAATGAATGAATCAATACCAATCCTAAGGGGTAGTTCCCCCACACAAAGTTAGACAAGACACTTGCCTCAATTAGGCCAATTCAACACTCGAAAATAGCTTTTTCCTTAAAATTTGCCTCCATACGGCTCAAATCAAACCAAAATCGACTTAATATCATCAAACAATGCTAGGGAAATCAATTGCGATAGATAAAGCTTAAGATCATTACACTTCTCCCAAAAAGTCAACAAAAGTCAACCTAGTGCCCGCCCGGTCAAAAACCGGGTTCGATGGTAGATTCCGACTACCCACGACCCCACGTGTTCATATATGTGATTAGTTTCAAAATTCGAGTCCAAATCGACTCTCAAAACTCAATTTCTTATTTTTCAAAACTTTGACAAAGTTTCACAAACTTTTACTTTGATTCACATGATTTTGATGGTTAAATCTATGATACGCTGATGGAATATGATTAGAAATAGATTAAAATAACTTACCCAAAGTTTGTAGGTGAATCCCCTCTCTAAATCGCCTCCTACTGAGTCTAGGGTTAAATAATGAGAGAGTGAGAGATAAAATTCTGACTTTCAGCCCTTATGTTCAACTGCAGTTATTGCAATTGCGAAGAAAATCTCAAAACTGCGGCACTGAAAGGCCGGGGAAGCTCGTTGCGAAATTGTGAACCCTACTGCCCTCGCAAAAGCGACATTTTTGTCGCAAATGCGAACTACCCAAAATCCCAGACCACTTCGCAATTGCGAGCCTGGCATCGCAATTGCGACACCTGAGGCCCCCCTGTTAAGCTCGCAAATGTGACCCTGGTGTTCACAATTGTGACACCAGAGGCACAGACACTAGATTTTTGCCAATTTCAGTCCAAAACACTCTGGAATATGTCTGAAACTCATCCGAGCCCTCCACACAAGTCTAAAAATATCATACGAACTTGCTCGCGCGATAAAAACCCAAAAATAACATCTAAAACTAGGAATCGAACAGTAAAACACATGAATTTCAAAGTAAAGTTCAAGAATTTCTAAATTTACAACTTAACGTCTGAATCCTACCAAATAAACTCCAAATGACACCAAATTTTGCAGATATGTTCTAAATACCATAACGGACCTATTCCAAGACCCAAAATAAATTCCGAGCTCGATAGCTAAAAACCTACTGTGAAACCTTTCAACTTTCAATTCCAAATTTCGGCAAATCAACACAAATCAACCTGCAGACTTGCAAAATCAATTCCGGGCATACGCTCAAGTTTGAAATTGCGATACAAAGCTATCGGATCCATGAAAATATGGTTTCGGGGTCGTTTTCATAAAAGTCAAAGTTTGTCAATATTTTCTAATTTAAACCTTTAAGTCAAGAATCAAGGGTCCAAATAAACCCGAAAGTTCCACGGAACAAAACTAACAGACCCCGCAAGTCATAAAATCATAAACACACATGTGTGAAACATCAAAAGGGGAAACGGGGTGCAATTATACAAAACGATCGATCGGGTCGTTACATTCTCTCCCTCTTAAAATAAACATTCGTCCTCGAATGTGCATAAGGACATACTTGAAGTGGTGAATAGATGAGGATAACGACTCCGCATGTCGTGCTCGGTCTCCCAGGTCGCCTCTTTGACCTGATGACCCCTCCATTGAACCTTCACTAAAGCAATATTCTTTGATCTCAACTTTCGGACCTGTCTGTCCAAGATAGCCACATGCTCCTCAATGTAACTCAAATCCTCATCCAATTTGACTGTGCTGAAGTCTAGAACATAAAACGGATCACCATAATACTTCCGGAGCATAGAGACATGGAACACCAGATGAACCGCAAATAAACTAGGTGGCAAAACATGCCACCTCCCCAATCCTCTCAAGGATATCAAAAGGTCCGATATACCTAAGGCTCAACTTACCCTTCTTCCCTAACCTCATTACACCTTTCATGGGTGAATCCCAGAGGAAGACTCGCTCTCCAACCATGATGCAACATCACGAACCTTCCGAGCCACATAACTCTTCTGTCTAGATTGGGCTGTATGAAGCTGATCCTGGATCATCTTGACCTTCTTTAAGGTATCTCGAACCAAATCTGTGCCTAATAACTTAGCCTCTCCCAGCTCAAACTACCCAACTGGAGAACGACATTGTCTTCCATATAGAGCCTCATAAGTAGCTATCTGAATACTCGATTGGTAGCTGTTACTGCAGGCAAACTGCACAAGCGGCAAGAACTGATCCCAAGCACCCCCGAAGTCCATAAAACAGGTGCGAAGCATATCTTCTTATATCTGAATGGTGCGCAAGGAATGTCCCTCCGTCTGAAGGTGAAATGATGTAGTCAACTCAACCTGTGTGCCTAGATCACACTGTACAACTCTGTAGAAACGTGATGTGAATTGCGTACCCCGATCAGAGATGATGGACACCGGTACGCCATGAAGTCGGACAATCTCGCGAATATAAACCTTAGCTGGCTACTTTGAAGAATAGGTAGTCACTACCGGAATAAAATGAGCCGACCTGGTCAACCTGTCCAAAATCACCCATAGTGCGTCAAATTTCTTCTGGTTCTGTAGGAGCCCAACAACGAAGTTGATGGTGACACGCTCCCATTTCCACTCGGGAATCTCTAGTCGCTGAAGCAAACCACCAGGCCACTGATGCTCATACTTCACCTGCTGAAAATTTAGGCGTCGAGCTACATACTACACTATGTCTTTCTTCATTCTCCTCCACCACTAGTGCTTCCTCTAATCCTGATACATCTTAGCGGCACCCGGATGAATGAAGTACCACGAACTGTGGGCCTCCTGAAGAATCAACTCACGCAACCCATCCAAATTGGGCACATATAACCGGCCCTGCATCTGCAACACACTGTCATACCCAATAGAAACCTCCTTGGCATCGTCGTGCTGAACCATGTCCTTAAGGACAAGCAAATGGGGGTCTTCATTCTGACGCTCTCTGATACGATCATATAGAGAAGACTGAGAAATCACGCAAGCAAAAACTCGACCGGGCTCCGAAACATCCAATCTAACAAACTGGTTGGCTAAGGCCTGAACATCCAATGCAAATGGCCTCGCCGCTGCTGGTAGATATGCTAAACTAAACTCTCCGCCACCACATTGGCCGTCCCGAGATGATATAGAATGGTGATATCATACTCCTTAAGCAATTCTAACCACCTCCGCTACCGCAAGTTAAGATCTTTCTGGTTGAACAGATGCTGTAGACTCCGGTGGTCCGTAAAGAACTCACAAGGGACACCGTACAAATACTACCGCCAAATCTTCAAGGCATGAACAATGGCTGCCAACTCCAAGTCGTGAAATGGGTAATTCTTCTCGTGAGTCTTTAACTTTTGAGATGAATAGGGAATCGCCCTAGCGTCTTGCATTAACACCACACCAAGGCCAACACGTGATGCATCACAATACACAATATAACACCCCGAACCCGTAGGTAAGGCCAACACTGGGGCTGTAGTCAAAGGAGTCTTGAGCTTTTGAAAGCTGGCCTCGCACTCCTTGGACCATCTGAAAAGAGTACCCTTCTGGGTTAATCTGGTCATAAGTGCAGCAATAGATGAGAATCCCTCTATGAAACAACGATAATACCTGGCCAAACCAAGGAAACTCCGAATCTCAGTAGATGAAGACGGTCTGTGCCAGTTCTGTACTGCTTCAATATTCTTCAGATCTACCTTGATCCCCTTACTCGACACCATATGCCCAAAAAACGCCATTGAATCAAGTCAGAATTCACACTTTGAGAGTTTTGCATACAACTTCTTCTCTCTCAAGGTCTGGAGCACGATCCTCAAGTGTTGCAAAATGATCTTCCCGACTGCGAGAGTACACCAAGATGTCGTAAATAAACACAATGACGAATGAATCAAGATAAGGCTGTAATACACTGTTCATCAAGTGCATTAATGCTTCGGGGAGTTGGTCAGCCCAAATGACATCACAACTAACTCGTAGTCACCATACCGAGTCCTAAAGGCAGTCTTCAGAATGTCCGAATCCCGAATCTTCAGCTGATGATAACCTGACCGCAAATCAATCTTTGTGGACACCCTAGCACCCTGTAGCTGATCAAATAGGTCATCAACGCGTGGTAATGGATACATGTTCTTCACCGTAACCTTGTTCAACTAGCGATAATCAATATACTTATGCATAGAACCATCCTTCTTCTTTACAAACAAGACTGGAGCACCCCAAGGCGACACACTAGGCCGAATGAATTTCTTATCAAGCAACTCCTACAAATCTGCTGGGGCTATACGATATGGTGGAATAGAAATGGGTTGAGTGACCGGCAACAAGTCAATACCAAAATCGATGTC